TAATTTAGCACCCACTTCACTTAAAGACCAATTTTTGTCCAATTAAACTATAGTTTTTAATTTTCCCTTTGTAATATCTGTTTTTCGTAGTTTTATACGTTTAAATGTTAGTTTAACCCTTCGTTGGTGTTCTGGGGTATAGCATACCCCATCACGTCTATTTACAGCTATGAAACTAAAATTGCAACATCTAGAGACATCTAGCGGCTAGTAGCTTTAGTTCATATATATAGCGATTGAACGCGCCCACAGTAACGTCTCTCTGAATCTTCAGTACGAAATCAGATTTTCGCGAACACGGTTAGGGTATGGTATACCCCGGAACACTATTTACGTAATTTTTTGTGTACAGCAGTTGGAATGGTAAGTAATAAAGTTTTTATTTTATTCTCATAGTTTACTTGCTATTATGTGGCATATTTTAGCAAAATGTCCTACGAAAAAGAGCAACGACGGCTTGAAATGCTATGGGACAAGTTTGAAGGTATCGACGATGATGAACCTATTATAAGCAGTGATTCTGAAGGAGAAGAAGATAAGCTGGAAATAAACAGAGTAGAAGCGGCAGAAGAGGAAGTGGAAGAATTGCAAGGAAAACCGGGAAGAAGAGTCAAAAGAAGAAATGGAATTTTTGTGTAATTTAGAAAATGATAGATTTGAAAATAATGGAAGATATTTGATGGATAAAAATAAATCAAAATGGTCAAAACTTCCCCACAATCGAAACGTAAGGACAAGATCGGAAAACATTATAACTGACTTACCCGGGAAAAAAACACACCTCTTAATTATTGGCTACTATTTTTTACAGAAGAGGTACTAGATGACATTGTTCGGTATACAAAGGTAAAATTGGCTACCAAAGCACCTAATTATGATAACAGGCATTAGTACTTAGTAAAACCCACTAATAAAGCTGAAATCAAAGCAGTCTGCATTAGATACATACCGGGTGAAAACCTTACTATTGATGAAAAGTTGGAACCATTCAGAGGGCTGGTGTCATTCCTTCAATACGTCCCCAACAAGCCTGCTAAATATGGGCAAAAGTGTTTGCTCTTGTTGACGCGAAAACGTTTTACTGTCTTAACATGGAGGTGTACGTCGGAAGACAACCAGATGGCCCCTTTCAAATGAGTAACACCCCACAAAATATTGTCAGTTCAGTGTGAAGATATTACAGCGTTGGCATATGTTCCAAAGAAATCTAAAAATGTCATTCTGTTTTCAACTTTGCATCACGACAATAAGATTGTTCCAGATTCTGGTGATAAACAATTACCAGAAATCATCGATTTGATACCTTGGATGAACTATCTGCTAATTATAGTGTAGCTAGAAACAGACGCCGCTGACCTCTTACTCTATTTTTCTCTTTTTTGAATACTGCCGGAGTAAATGCTCAGGTAATATACAAAGCAAATACAAAAAATCACAACTTGAAAAGACGAGCATTTTTGAAAGAATTTGGCATGCAGTTGATATCAGAGTTCAGAGGTCAGCGAAGACAAATCCCCTGTTTACGTAGAGGACTGCGAGACGCCCAGCAAGCTGATCGTCATGAACCTGCTGCTAAACGACGTAATACAAGTAGTAGATGTTCAGTTTGTCCAAGAAACAAGAATAGAAAGACATTTTATGTTTGTATGCAGTGTAACGTCCCATTGTGCATAGAGCATGCGTTTTTCAGCTGTGAAAGTTGTGCCACATTCGAGGCCTCATAACTTTTTGAATTCTACTGATACTGGTTTGATTCAAGGTGTACCATATTTTTTAGATATTTGTCAAAAACAATTTTTAGTTCAGTATTGTAATTCTTGATTTTGTAGTTTTTTATTTAAAATATAGTTGCTCTTCTTTTTTTGCAAGGCAGAATTGATGTTCCATGGTATTTTTTTAAATGTTAAAAATAAAAACTTATCTTACTCATATTTTTTGTTTTACTCGACATTATGACTAACTAAAATAATATGTTTAATATTTAAAATGAGGAAATTTGAAAACATCTCCATTTTATTTGAATTTTCTTTTTGGGGTATGATATACCCCAGAACACCTCTTATGCATTTTTTTTATGGTACACTAACGAAGGGTTAAGGTAATTTTGCTGCAGCCTTTGACTTTCTGGAAAATAGAAACTCATCTTTGTATGGATTTAAAATGTTTATGAAAAAACATTTATTTAATATTATGTGATTTTTGCTACCATTTATTGTCCCATGAATATTGGCTACATTCGATGACCAAACGGATGCCTCTGATTAAGCACCGATTAAGTTGTGGGGCCAAAGAAGGGTTAGGTGTAAAAGTAGCTTAAGGTTAAATTTCGCCTTATCTTGGGGGTCATAAATAGTAAATAAGAAAAAAAATTCATAAAAAAAACATTGTACCTAAATGTTTAAATATTCTTCTTTATTGTAAACAATTGTTACAGTTTCTTTTCTCTTGATGTTTAAATAAAGACCACTTTTATTATTATTATTATTATTATGATTATATTATTAGTATTATTTCTGTTAAAATAAATAAACGATTTTTGAAGTTTTATATACCAAGATGTTTTTTATTGTTTTTATTTTAATTTGGTGTCATCGGCATCAACTACTAAAGTTATTAGCCTTGTATTTTGTGTAGGCTTTGGTACTTGTTTCCCAGCGCCACTTTAGGAACAGCACTGTTAATTAGAACAGTGAATGGTCGGGTGGGGATCCCTACCAAGGCATCAGAATTAATTTTAAATAATTAAATAAAAAATCCCTTAGAGACTCTACTGTAACAACCAACTAGCCTAAAGACCATTTTTAACTACTATTAGGTCTTAAGCTATTGTTGTTAATATAATATTAAGGGATCAGGGCTGCGCTGTCACCAGCCAAAGGGTCCTGGAGTCCAGAAGGAACATCCATTCACCAGTGGCAAATAAAAAATAATAAAAAAATTAAATTAAAAGAATAAAAATTATCCCTTAATAGCATAGTTGAATGGTTCTTGGCAACTAGTTTTGGACTCTTTTAGTCCTAAGGGAATAGAAACGCCGAGGCTTATCAAATGCTCGAAGTATTTTACTGGTTTGGAAAGAGAGGAGAGATTAATAAGTATTAAAACATTAACAAATTTATATTAACAATAAACATAAAATTTTACTAATAGTCTTAAGAAAAATAAATAAAATTCCATTTAGGGAATAAATCACTATAACTACATAATAATATAAAAATATGGACAAGATAAATATGATAATTTGGGACGAAAATGTAAAATTGGCATTTATTTGTAATTAATTATTATTAAACAAAACACTTTAAAATTAAATTAAAAATATTTACCCATAATTTACAAATCGTACACAAAACTTTACTCTACACAACACATTGTTTTGGGACTTAAACAGCCGTATGCATAGTCGATCGCCAGCAACTCGCCAGAGATTCATTTTGGCGTATCGCCATCGATACGCTGGCGATCCGCCGGCGAAAGCCCAAAAAGCTGGCGACTCGCCGGAGATTGTCACCGGAATGTCATTTCACGCAAGTTTTCATGTTCTTTTATAGGGAAAAATTTGATATTCGTTCATTATTTTTTGAGTTTTAAGAAATGAATCATGAATAAAATGCGAGAGATGCCGGTGATAATCCCTATAAAAGAAAATAAAAACTTGCGTGAAATGACATTCCGGTGACAATCTCCGGCGAGTCGCTAGCTTTTTGGGCTTTCGCCGGCGGATCGCCAGCGAATCGCTGGCGATACGCCGAAATGAATATCTGGCGATCGACTATGCATACGGCTGAAAGAGTCTCCAAAAAAAAAAGCGAGAGCTTTGTTCCCTTGGGCAAAAGTTCTGGTCCTTAGTCCGAACTCAACTGAGAGTTTACCAAGAGCCTTTTTTTGTCTCGTCTCTATATAAACCAAAATTTACGTGATGGTTGTATTTTTAAAAATGTCACGCTCAATGTAGCCATTGACTAGATTATTAACCTGATTTTTTGTTTTATTTTTATACGTGTCTTCCTTTTTAATTATTAATTTAAAACAAAAATACTTATTTAGAATTTTTGGTAAATTCTTTTTATTTCCAACTAAAAATAATGCCAATTATTACACTACCACTGAGCCACCCACCCCTCACCTAGATGTTGATTTAATTTTAAAATAAATAAACTGTTATTTTAATTTTTTATTGCACATTGCACTAATAAAAGTAATAAATTTTTGTTTCTCTCTCTCTCTCTCTCTCTCTCTCTCTCTCTCTCTCTCTCTCTCTCTCTCTCACACCACTGGTCACAGCCAGACTTACAAAAATTAATTTCAGTAAAAAATTCTTTGACGATCAGAGAACGTTTACATTTGGGTTGCCTCGACTGTACGATTATTTGAACATCTTTTTCCTGCAATTCACTTAATGCACCACTTATTTTTAACAACTTTATGTGATATTTTTGAGAAATATATTTACCTTTATTAGACTCAATTTACCGTAAACTTGAAAATACGAAAAATATTTTACAGAGGAACTAAAGCAATTCACAAAGCCTTACTTTTCAGTAAAAATTACCCAGCTGTGGAATATCGATTTACAGATCTGAATAGAAATGTTCTAATGACAATTTACAAGAGTAGATAGCGAATACCGTTTCTGTGGCAAAAATACTTTCCTCGGATTCGTAAAACACATCATTTTGGTAGTAAAAACTTCGTAAAAGGAAGTTAAATAAAAGAGGTCAAGAGATAAAATAAATGAACAGGCTTCTGACGAATGAATAGATAATGTGGTGTTCCTTTCTTACTGCATGTAAAACTTCTCAGTTGCTGTTTTTGAAATCAATAGTGGAATGAAACGAAGACGGTTATAAATTGTGTATGGACATAATAATTAAATAAGGGACATTTTGTAATAATAACATTTAAATATTTATACGAGAACCATTATGTTACAGACGTGCCTCTTAAAAGATTCAAGGTAACTTGCAAATCTTTCGTGTTTAAAATATATATATTTTTAGTTTAAAACGGAAAACCAAAAACGAAAAACGAAAAATGGAAAACGGAAAACGGAAAACGGAAAACGGAAAACGGAAAACGGAAAACGGAAAACGGAAAACGGAAAACGGAAAACGGAAAACGGAAAACGGAAAACGGAAAACGGAAAACGGAAAACGGAAAACGGAAAACGGAAAACGGAAAACGGAAAACGGAAAACGGAAAACGGAAAACGGAAAACGGAAAACGGAAAACGGAAAACGGAAAACGGAAAACGGAAAACGGAAAACGGAAAACGGAAAACGGAAAACGGAAAACGGAAAACGGAAAACGGAAAACGGAAAACGGAAAACGGAAAACGGAAAACGGAAAACGGAAAACGGAAAACGGAAAACGGAAAACGTAAAACGTAAAACGTAAAACGGAAAACGGAAAACGGAAAACGGAAAACGGAAAACGGAAAACGGAAAACGGAAAACGTAAAACGTAAAACGGAAAACGGAAAACGGAAAACGGAAAACGGAAAACGGAAAACTAAATTAAAACAAATTCAATTTGAGACGGAAATACACTGGCATCACAACATTGCAAAAATGGTGCAAAAAATTTGTCCATTATTGCCCATATAATTTTTTTGGCCTTACCTCTGTTTTCAAAATATATCGAAAAGAATTTTCGCGGGCTAACTTCTAAACGAAAGTAAATATTTTGATAGTTTAGCTCAAAAAATATATGAGAATGTTACTTAATCTGCAAGAACTGTTTAAAATGACTACCTCAAATGAAATCCAGATTTAATCTGTATTTCTTTACGATGTCTGCACTTTTGCCTGTTTTAAGTGGAAAAAATAGCCGTTTTAGTAATTGACCTATTGAGCCTAAAGCATCGATATAAATTTACAATTTTTTTCAAAAATTTTCAACGTGTACATACTTTTTCTATTTAAACCTTAATATTTTGTTTCGACTTTATAATAAATTAAATTTCAAGTAAAAAATTATATAATCATGTCCTTCACGATAATTATAAATCTCGTAAAACTGGAATCCATCCAAAGAACGTAAATAACATTTTTATTTGGGATATTAAAAGTAGACATATAATCAGTACACAAATCTCTCATGATTCGTTTTTCCATTTATTTTCCAGAATCATACTTAAATGTATTTCTGATTTATATCTGTTTCCCGTAAAATACATTTATCATTTACTATCTACTCTATATAAAATTTATTGAAAATAAAATAACTGGATTTCATTGAGGAGATTTATACCACTCAGTTGTGTAATCAAAATTTTATGGTTTCTTGACAGCTTGATTGATATGCTGTTTGGGTGAGAATAAAGTGATTTGGTTATTATTAAACGGATCCTTTCTTTTGCTGTTTAAACGGAAGTTCAAATTAAAATAAACGATTGTATACAAAATTAAAGACGATTTGAATACCTACCATAATATTTATGGGAAAGATAAATGGAATTTTAAAAAGTTTTTGCAAAACTAAAAGAGAATTTTCGACAAACAATAATTGCTATCTGATCGCTGTATTGGATTAAACAACCTTAATCCTAATATATGCTTACAATTTTTTTACGCATGAACTTACAGGCTACCAAATGGCAAACGTTGATTGTCAGACTAATGTGCTATATTAAATTCAACTCGTCACTCGGGTCCAATTGCGAGATCCACAATTGGGTATTGACCGCATATAATTCAAGCCAGAGGAGGGAGTGATCCGATTAATAATAGATTTTTTAGGGCTTCTCCACTAGTTCATTTTCGTATCTAGTGCAAGTTTTTCCTCTACGACGCTTTGCGGGCAGAGTTGTTGAAATATTTACCGAAACATTTCTGATAGTAAGTCTCTAAATAAAATGACGTGTAACAAAACAAAAAAACGTATAAAATGTGTACAAAGCTATTTTAACTGCTTTCACTTGACTTGATATTTTAGCAGCACCTATTTTTAGTATTTTTAGAGAGTTAACAATTAGCAAATACTAGGTTAAACTATGGCAAACACCATTAATAGGCCTGCAAATAAATGCACGAATTTTAAAAGCGTTAAACGTGACAATACTGCAAATACTGTATGGTTTGGGAAATTTTAAAAATATATAAATGAAAATTAAATAAAATTTACCTTTATTAATTTCCAAGAGCTGCGACTATATCTGGAGTCTGACTTGCCAAAAAATAAGGAACAGGAATATTTGGGTAAAAAGGGGAAAATTGGGATTTATGGCTTACCAATAATCCTTTAATTTACTCTAAGTAGTAAATCACTAATTTTTAATTAATTTGCAGTGGAATTGTTTAGCAAGCCGGCACTAATTTTTACACACAAAAACCGAGGTTTTTAATATGAAGGTTCAAAACGGACTGGACTCTTTTTCGACATGAGCTTAAAAATATCTTTTAATAAAAAGAATTAAAATTAAATTGATTTATGAACGTGGACTGTAGGCAACCAATTTTACTTGAAGAGTTTAATAAAAATACAAATGGCCGTAACACTGTACGTCACGTATAGTATTTTATCGATAGATAGTTTGCGATGTTGCCATCCAATACATTATTCCATATCTGGTGTTTTTGTTGATTTTTATACTTTTTTGGAAATAATTGGGCTTATATTTTTAGTGTATAACTAACAACATGGTTCGCGAGTGGATAATGTCAGCGCTGAAGTGTCTTTTTATAAGTAAGTAATGTTAGATTTAAAGATATTTGCCGTAATATCACATGTATTTGCTGTGTTTAAATATACAAATCCGATGCATTTTTTGAATCTCGAGGGTTTGTTTATCCACATCGGACACATCTGTCCTACACGTATATTGAATCACGTGATCAAATATTTACATCTTAGATGCATCAGGTGTGGATATTAAAACGCAGCATAAATCTACCTCTGTTTTACTATTATTTATTTCCTCTGATATTTCAACGTTATTCATTTCCAAAAAAATTGTTATTAATGGAAACACTTTAGTCTGGATTTTAGTAGTAAAATAAATATGATCGTGCTTGCTTTGTTGATTCCCAACTGATAGATATACAAGAAATATTTGGCTATCACTTGTAGGACTCGAAGAAAATGAGGGTTTTGGATATATTAATTTTAAATACTGTAAAAACCTTACAATCTAACATTAAATTTTTTTGGAGATCACATTTTTGATGGCATGATTTAAATAAAAATGCTGTTTTTTTTTTTAACGCCTAGCACAAACGAAGGTTTATTGTTGTATAGTTCTACGTGTTTTCAGATTTTACAAAATTCTTATCGGCAGATCCGTTATAAGTAGCATTTCATTTAAAATCCAAGCCTTGTATATATGGGAAATTTATTGATTTATTAACTTTTATAAATTTATAGTCTTAAAAATCTGATTTTTGATTTGAAAATCTCTCATTATTACCAATTTGTAAAACTGTTCAAATTAACTCCAAAGTTGGATTCTTAAATTAAGTTGCGTGTAACAGCAGCATTGCCAGATAAGATCTAGGATTCTTTCAATTCTTTCAATCTGCATAAAATATCTTATTTCTCTTTGCCAATAATTGGGACCAAATACATGATACGTTATGAATGGTATACTTCATCTATTGTTTGTGATATCTAACGGTAACACAAATAGTCTCGACTGTCTGCTGAACAGCCGTGGTCCCATTTTAGCTTTGCGTGAACAAATACGTGGTCCATTTTAGTACCAAGATTCAAGGTCTTCAAATTAAAAATATGGGGCGCCAGATCGATTAGACTACAACTTTTATGTTTCCATGTTATAGGCATTGAGAAATTTCCTTGCTGCATTAGCGACAGAATGGTGCTCGGAGTGTATTAACACCCCATACCGTTTCATAAATTATTATACGCTAGACTCTCCACTATGTATTAAAATGTGTTATAGGATTATAGCACTTTTAAAATAAATATCCTGATTAAAAGAATGTATGTACCAAGTGCCATAATTTTTATCGTAATATTTATTTAATATTTAGGAAAAGAAAATGTTCATGTAGATAAACTTATCTTACTTGAACCTAGTTATACTTTCAGAGTTGATATCTCTTATATTCCATTCTTCTTGTTTGTTATTTACTTTTTCTTAAGGTAGTGGATTTTCTATAGTAAATGTACACTCCAGCGATGACTCTGCCAAAATTATGAATACAATGCAGAAGTATGACGTAAGCCTTCAAGATGTATATATTTTTATTACCTAGCTAAGTTAGAAATTAATTTCATATTTATTATTTTAAAGATGGTTTTGTTTACATTATTAGATATATGACAATAATGACATCTGAGATGTGTCAATCATTCTTGTGCAATAAAACTTTTATGAAATGATTCTTGGAGTAACTTAAAAGTTTATTTATTACAGAGTATGTAATGAGAACCTTATTTCTTTTTCTCTTTATACAAAGATATCTATCTCACTTTTTACTTAATTAATTAAATAATAGGTAATTTAAGGAGTAGATCAATTAAACTAAGTTTTGAAACAGAAAATACCTAAGTAAGATTAAATCTGACATTCTTTTAAAGAAGTTCATGAGATACGCATGGCAGATTTGTAATTGGTTAGTTTTTAAATTCGTAGGCTAAGCTATCTATACCTCCTAAGAATTGTTCCAGTTGGAAACTCTTCCGATTAATTGGATTTGAAAGGAATCATAGCTACAGTTTACTTCGATTTATACTCAAGTATTCCCTGCTAAGAAATAAGTACATTCACCCAAGGGCCCCATTACATACCTGGTAAGAATTATAGGTTATAATCAACGTAACTTATTAAATTTTAAACATAGAAATAAATAGTCATGAAGACTTATTTCTTTTTAGGCCGTATCCATTCGGATATCTTTGGTTTCTACCCTGTATAGGTATATATTTGTATATAGGGATAATATTCTAGCTATGCCTACTGATAGAGCCATAACCACATTCAAATTTAAAAGAAATTTTCAAATTCAAATACCAGCCCGAGAATCCTGGAAACAGGGACCTCCCGTACAGGCTGAACTCGTCTGGTACACAGACGGTTTAAAAACCAAGGAAGGAGCCGGTGCTGGAATCTATGGACCTAAGTCGAAATCAACGATTTCACTAAGCTTAGGAAAATATGCAACAGTGTTCCAGGCTGAGCTAATAGCTATACAACACTGTGCAAGAGAAATATTAAATCAGCAAGTATCAGGCAAAACTATTGCCATATACTCTGATAGCCAAGCAGCTCTAAAGGCGAGATCACGACTGGTGAAAGACTGTCTAGAAGACCTGACAGAGCTAAGTAGTCAAAATAAGGTGACCTTAGCCTGGGTTCCAGGCCATGAGGGATATCAGGGCAACGAAAAGGCCGACGAATTAGCCCAAGAAGGCTCAGATAAGACCATGACAGGCCC